GATTACGGTGGCCATCTGAAATGAACGATGTCCACTAGCAGGCGGAAGATATGTCAAAAATCAGTCAGCTACTGATTTTTCGCTAACTATTCCTGCCGCAGATCGTTTGAATCACACGGACGATTGACTGGAAACAAAATCAAATCAAATCAGTAGCTACTGGTGAATAAAGCACTAAAGCGTGTTCGTATCTATTTTGACAAAACAAAGATGTCCAGCTCGTTCCAGTCTGTCAACATTCAGTTAGATTAAAATAGAATGCACATGGATAAAAAGCTGACGTACTATTTGCTATCGATATTGACATTGAATACGCTTGATCCATGAAAAGCAATAGCTCTAATCGACGAACAGGGCGGATGAGCGGGAGGCAGGAGCTTGCTCCGTCTAGTAAGGACACCGTGGAACACGAGCGGCAAATTCATGTGACCTAATTAATAATTTCTAATTACGCGACAGGGCTTGCTGCGGGCATATTAAAAACAAAAAAAAACAGCGTTTTCTACTAGAGCAATTTCTCGGACTAAAATTCCGGATTTTAGATAACGATTCTTACCGAAGCAATCACTGAATCTTAGCGTACCGCATAACGTACATTAATGGCTGTAACCCGAAGCCGGAATCAGAGATGTTTGAGAAGTACAGCCTATGTCATCTATCCAGCTATATCTTGCGGTTTAGTGATAGGTAATTTAAAAAAAGACTGTTACATACGGCACTTTGATACTTAGTCGATGGTATTATCGATGTGTGTTCTCGAAATCCAAAAATTACGTACGTAGAAAAAAAAAGTACGTAGAAAACCTAATAAGGATATATGTGAACAGTTTGCGGCTAGAGAGAGGGAGACTGACAAATGCAAGTTTGTCTCTGTCGGCTATGGACGTCGTTCACTGGTAGTGCCCAGCCGGTACGATCAACCCATAAAACGTATGCGTTTCCGTTAAGCAGGAAAACCATTGAGTTGCAAGTAACATACAGCAGCCTCTTTAAAAACATATTGTATTTTTTGGCTATACCGTGCTACAGTTAGAGGTAGGAAAAGTTTCTAATAATTTTTCGAAACGTCTCGTTTTTTATACGCTTATTCTTCACTAGCCACTGTTATTAAGGGGCGCTGAAGTTAGACTAATTTCATTTTTACCGACCGCCCATTCTTGTGCCTCTTTTTATGTTGCTTCGAAACATAACTAGTCAGACAGGCACTTTCCGACTGCAGTCAATATCTATAGCTCCTCAATAGACTTGTTAACGAAAGTTAGTACGAAGTGACCATTAAATAAAACGAGCTCTCATTGGAATTATCAATAGAGAAATATAAGTGAGGAAATATCAAAATACCCCACACAAAAATGATATTTCCTTGTATTTCTAGTGCTACACTAATTATACTGTACCCAATATACCTGTATCGTGCTGATCCGTTTAGGTGTAGCTTGCTTGTGAGCGGTCAGTTTTAACCGTCTTCATATTGTAGACGAACAGCCTCTATGCATAACTATCTCGGAACTTATGCTGCACCCCTACACAAAATCATGCTGTGAAGTTTCATAACAGCGTTCGCGTCAATGTCATCACGTACATACGTTAACTCGACTGAATATGTGCTTTATAAAGAGTGATGCTACGTATAAGTTTATAGAACTAGTTAAAAATGGGCCAGTGCCTTGAGTTACTAACCCTGGGCCGACCACTGATCGCACTGATCTTTCGAGTCGTGATAATTATTATACAGACGTAAATCGCTATCAAAGGTTCACTGCCAACCGATTATCGCGAATTCAACTGCTATTGTCCTGTTATCCTATTATTTCCTTCGCGCGCGCCCTCCTTGTCCTCCGTTGCAAGCTTATTCGACTGTCATCACTCTTTATATAGTAGTAGTAGTAAAATGTATCGGTGATTCATATTGTACCATAACTCAGTCGAAGTTATACTTCCATGCATTATAGGCAAAAACGTCGACGATGAACATGAAAAGTTCAGATATAAAACTGCATCATGTTGCTATCCGGCTACCTTCTGTTTAGCGAACTGGTCTATTGCGGTTATCGATGTTCAATGATACGATAAAGTATCAACGTAAGTCTATGAGAAGTACACTTAACATAAATCGGTATATTACTCTACAGCGGCAGCTGGTGCTTTTATGGCAAACTATAAGCTGTGGTTGTATCAGAACAAATATGAAGGTCGTAGTGATCTGGCAACTATAGTTAAACTTCCGCCGACAAGTGATCAAAGTATTTACTTTGGCGATGTATGTTATCCGAATTAACTAGCGGCATAGTATAGCGTGAGCAGTAGTGTGAGGCCGGCGGTGTAACTTCTATTGAAAATTGCCTTTGAAAAACAGTAGTGATGAAGGTCTTCGATTGGAAGATTGACGAAGGCTCAACATTGAGATGACAGGTCGATTCGGTGAGCGTGCTCAAAATCTACGGTACATGTACGTGAATGATACGTCGACAACAGCGCCAACGACCATCCATACAATAATAAACGGCATGTCAAAGAAACAGGCAAATCTTTGATTTGCTTAATTATCTTATAATAAATAGTAAATTGCGGTGACGCAAAGTTCGGTTCCGCGCAAATGAGCCACACCCAAATCACTTTCTTTTTTTTTTTTTTTTTATTGTTTCAGCTTCCTGCGACTGCTCTTTTAATTGAGCCAGGTACAAATTTCCATTTGAAGGAGTAACCCACCATTTCATTAAGCGAAACGATACGACGAGGAGAGTATCTTTTGGGAGGAAAGTGATGATTACTGTTATTTTCTTGCGTTCGCGTGTGGCTAGCTGATCAGTACACACTACATATTAAAGAGTTGCTGTTTTTATTATTGTTAGCACAGCTATATTATTACTGGAAGACTATCGCCCATTGGAGCGCTTATTCGGTAGCAACATTTGCCCTTGACCTACACAGGAGCGGGTGAATCATCTATTTTCTGTCTATATTTTTCTACGAATCGGACAATAGAGATGTCTATCCGCTTTCTTAGCTTCACGTGGTAGAATAGCGGATGCGAGGAGTTCATGCCCAAACTCCAACCTCCGACGTTTGCCAACAACCCGTTGCATTGGTAAGGCGCATTGGCACTACAATATGTTCATCTGGCTGGCAAATGCATCCGTCCAAAAGCATCTCTTGGTGACGACCATGGCAGTAAAAGCAATTCAACAAAGGCAACGACAACACTGTTCATGGGGCACAACTGATTAATTGATGTAATTCTTAACGACTACAGCATATAGCGATCACGTGGCCAGCGAATGGACCGGCAACGTTACCAAAAACATGGTACTACATCGTGCGCCATTAATTATCACTGCTGCCATAATAATAATAATAGCACCTTTGCCACTATATTTAGGTTTACAGTTTGGATACTCAGGGAAAGAGAGGGAGCGGAAGATACCCTCAAGGGCGGATTTTGAGTCGTACTTGCTTGTCCATTGGGAAAAAAGTGGGTTATAGAAAAAGTAAGATAATAACATATAGGATATAACAAAGCCAATAATGAAGCTTATTTTATTAGGATGGAGGAGAAACAAGAATGTTACAACAATGTAGAAGGGGACGATGATGGGGCCAAATCTGCAGCAGCTCTCTCAGCAATTGACGAAAGATCGCAATATTTTCGATGTTTTTTTTTTTTTTTATAAATAATGCCGCATATCAATCGATTATCAGGAGAGGTGTTAACAAGTATTCTATACCTATTAGGATTTTTCTGTACGCCCCAAGTAGATGTAAGAATCATAGATCAAAGTCGAATGGACGAATACTCATTTACAATTGCCGCTTACCTACAACATACTATGCAGTAGCACAATTCTCCGATACTTGCAATTCTACATTGCGATATGGTATTTTTTGGGAGCCGCATGGAGACGGCAACGAGCGCCGACAGATACGAAATTCTGGAGATAGATAACGTAAAATGAATAAAACTGACAAATTATATTGTACTGCGCATTCGAACAATAGATAAAATGTTCTAGATTGATAGATAAGTTCTTGATATGCTTGCTTCTGTCCATTTTGAAAATATAGGAAGGTAAAAAACACATAGTTTCAAAAAGTGTGCTTTTTTTCTTGATGCCGTTTTGCGTGAATTAGGACTCCATAACTCGCATGTCTCAATTTAGCCTTTAAATTTGCCAAAAAGCGATTAGCTTTTCTATACATTTACATCAAAGGCTAACTTCTAGTGTTGATATATTTGTCTAAGCAATATACACGTTAAGGTCGATCCGAAGCTATACCTGGACACAACTTGCCACTATCGGCCTCGACCGGAAATGACCGTCTTCAGTTAAACCCAGTCATGTCGCCATTACGATGTATATATTCAGACCTCCGCCTCGTTGGGCGTTTAAAAGTCGACGACAATACCGGTAAAATACTTTTTGACGGAATCATTAGTGGACAAACTACAGATCACGAGCAACGCTCTAAAAATAATTGTTTTATCTATAGTTCGGCTTATGCTGTATTACTGTGGCTTATAATGCGTGCTATTGTCTAGGTAACTGGCTAAATAGCTATCATCAAGCAGGCCATCATGAATAGCCTTTCGTTCAGCAAATTTCCAGCAAAGTGGCCTTGAAAGGGCCTTTTCATAACCGGTCTCGAATGCCTGTATATTTTTTCCTGTTGAGACTTGTACTGTTTCTTATCATGTACTGACACTGCTGAGAATTGCAACTTCAGGAACTTTAATCAATTTATATTGTTATTTTTTTCTAATGCGTAAATATGTTTTTTTTTTTTTTCTATTTGGCAGCGATCCATACGCCGCCGTTAACAAAATGTCACGAACATGAATGGTTTTTTGTTTATGTTATTTAGCCATACGTGATAACGCTTCGTAGAGCAAGTGAGTGCACACCCCGATCGAGGGTGATGACTAGAGGGAATCGAATTATAATACGAAAATGCGTATACCTGTGTATATATTTATTCGGCACGATTTTTCTGTTAAATTTCAGATTGCCAGTATCGCCGCATTAAGTACCGTGAAGACAACTATTATGAGGTGAGTTAATAACAGCTGCACTGAATAAGATTCGGTACATTGTAACAACGATACGTCAGAACCAACGGGAAACCCTCGCATGAGGCAACAATCGACAAGATATTACATTATGATACTTTCTTCTTGTTTAAAAGCTATTACAATGATTAGGTTGTTACTTTCATAGGTGCCGGAAATTGATATGCAGATTCAGTCAAATAAATATCACTCATATCATACAGCCGTAAGCAACGGGCAACTGCGAGAACAACGGCGTCAGTCTGTTTTGACAGCACTAGGTTACAGGCCTCTATTTCTGGAGGAATGCCTAACGGCGATACCGGACGTAAAAGTCGAAATATAGAAGTTACAGTTCTATTTCAGACAGGTCAATCAAATTCTACGAATTCTTCGATATCAGAGAACCCGTTGAAGACGCGCGGAATAGCTCACCTAGATATCTAGCAAATAATGTCCTAAATCTTACGTCATGTAAACATGCTTCCGTCCCATTATACTCGTATACCGTTGTAGACAGTCGCCTGGATAGGCACATATGAGCTGAACAAGAATAATATAAATAGGAGTTACACTCATGTACAAACATCTCTTATACGCACACGTTGAATTGTTTGTGCGACTCTTGAAGCGCCTAAGACAGCGGCTCCATCATTTCTGTCGTATCTATTGTTGTTGTAGCCGTTGCTCATATTTCAGGTTGATGGCTAACTTTCGTTCCCGCTTTTCTAAGTACCGCTTTACATAGCCAGCACTTGCCATAGGAAAAGTATATTGAGGACGTGTCGTGATAGAGGTGAGTCCAGCGCGGGTCGATTTGAAAACCTGTCTGTGTGCGTAAGCGCTCGTAAGCTTATCTGCGCGTGGCCATATTTATTGAGTGCCCGTACATCAACTAATATATGTACATCCAATACAGCCATGACGTATTATAATTTTGCGGTCATAATGGCGATGACGATAATGTCGATGGCGACAGGACCGAGCGATCAAGCTACCGAAGATGACGCTTGATTTGAAACATCTACGTATATATATATATATATATATATATATATATATATATATAGATCTCCGTACTATGTGGCTGTACGGCGTTGGGTGGCTAGTTAGGATGCACACGTACGACTACGCTGGCACTCTTCTACGATATCGGCTCACCTTTTTATATTATATGGAACGCTAATGTCCGTATACATAAATGTTTTTCAGTGCTATTTTCTCATAAACTCAAGTCGATTCGTAGAGACGATACGCAGGCATCATCGAGTGTGCATCGTAGTTAGCTATGCTACGTTATATCAGTATCGTTTACGCTTTTGGTGTAGTGATGAAGAGCTACATAAAACTAAAAATACAGTTAATTAGCGTTAGTTCATTTTCTGCTTTTTATGTTCGTATTATGTCGCGCACACATGTACCTTTGCTGAACTTCATTTAGAGGTCAGTTTTCTGTGACTGGGTAATTTGGGCTAGCTGTTTTGATCAAATCGTTATCAGACCATATTGGTTGATCGTCGTATCGATAACATCACCGCAAGAACGAAGCTATATACATGTCAGAATAGGCAAGGCATGTGTCTAGTTTTCGTTTGACCCACTTTCGTGCTGCTTTTTTTTTTTTGATACTGTTACTAAACTGGTACTTTAGCTATACACAATTTAGCCAAAGGCCGTATAGCTTGCTCAACTGCAGCAAAGCGCCAATATCAGACCAGACGTGTTTAACGTGCACGCTATTTACTAGCAGCTAGAAGCGAACGTGCCATTCTGTCGAATAAACACGAATGCAGGACACTCGATCAATAGGATCTGTATCCACGCAAAACCATTTGTCGAAGACGAATTTAGACGAGAGTTTAAATTTAGGCTGTACAGTCTATAAACCTATTACTTTTTCACTTCTTGGCAATGGCCTAATACGTAGATCAATGTATCTTTTCGCCGTTCGTACGGTGGCACTTATAAAATCCTATAGTTAATAACACTGTAGTTTTATTATGGCTAGACGCCAAAGCTAAATATCAAACGAGCCGATTCTAAGCTTAAGTGGTTAACTGGTGTTTGAGGAAAATTTGGAGCCAGTTACTGCTACGGTCGTCGAGAATCACTTCTACCACGTAAAAACGTTTGTTGTTCGCCAGCTTTGGTAGCCTCGGTAATACCGTCTCATCATAGGAAAACAGACCATACTAGTAGCCTGAAAAAGGCGACTGATTACTCCAGCGATGCATTCTGTTACGAGGCGCGAAGAACGTTAGGGAATGCGGGCATAGGGGAACGTAATAATAGCGCGCTGGATGAAGGCCCAATGCGAGACGCTCACAGGTTGGCTTCCCCTGCGTGAACGCTCCCATCGAACGACAACATGTCAGTCCGTCCGAGTATTCCTGTATTCAGCGCTATCCCAATGAAATTTAAGTGGTGGCCCCGTGGTCCTATTACTATATGAGTAAGTGTGCATGTTTGCTTTGAGGACGAAAACGTAAGGAACGTAAGTTTTCGATTGTTTTATAGCCCCATTGCCCGGTGTCGTTGTAGCTAATTAGCGGTACGAGTTGATCTTTAGCTATCAGCAGTATCCATCCGTCCATCTAGCTAGGTATGCATTGCAGACGCATAGCTACACTGAGATGTTAAGGGACTAGACGAAATATATTCGTTGCTATGTGTCTATGCAAAAAAAAATTTCACCATTCTGATGTGCCTGTTTGGCTTGTTATCCACATAAAACACCTGGCAGCAATTAGCAGAAGTGAGACAAAAAAAAAAAACAAAACAAATTGAAAATGCAATTGCTAAGCGCTAACATGTGACTCAACGCTCAGGGTTTCCTACGCGAACAGCATAATTACATAGTTATATAATTTTTCGCTATGTTTCTCACTCCTCGTCGCTCTCATCAGCAGATAGGACGACAGTTTCGGACTTCGTCAGATCGAAACAGGTTCTTGTTCAGATTGACAGATCCTCTGAGAGACGAGTACTACTACTAAGCCTCTTTCTGCTCGTGTGTGTTTATATATGTGATGGATACATGGATTTGTGTTTTTCGACAACGATCAAATTCAGTGCAGTATTCGGCTTTCTATGCCCAAGCTCCGCATATCATGCGACACTAGAAATTAGAAAGTACTGGAAGACCTTTCTATAATAGCAAAAGCCAGAAATACCTATTTTTATATGTGACAATAATCCTTGTTAGACAAATTCACAATTATATGATCTAACTAACTATTGGGTATAATTTAAAACAGGCATATGGACGGTAAAAAATGTATATTTTATTACATTATTAAGAGAGTTTTTTTTTATATTTTATTTTTATTATGATTTATTGTAAACATGAACTGAGCTGTTGAAACAAATTTTAGAAACTAAGCTGATCTAAATATTAATTTTCCTTATTCATAGAAATTGTATAGTATTTATGGGTTGTTAACGACGCTCGAAACAGCGACCTCTGGTCTTTTACAACCAAAAACCTGTACTAAGTTTAATTGTGTAAAAAACCAAGACGACCGATGTATACATGTACGCATATGTTTTATTCCGTAGCCATGTTTGTAGCATCTAAGCAAGTTTCGCTTGCTGAAGATTGGGTAACTAATTGTTATTGATAGATTGGACAATGAGCAAGACTAGCTTAATATCGATACATACGATTCAGTACTGTCCCTCGTCTACTACCTATAACAAAACGCGAGCGGATCTGTCAACTTTTCAAACTTCAAAAGCTTTGAATTAGGGGTTCGAGATCTGTCATGAACTTAAAAAAATACTACTTCGGTAACCATATATGAAAAATATACGAGTTAAATAGGGCAGGCTTCTAATTTTTCTGCAACCAGGTCGATTGTTTCTAGCTGTGCATGCTACATAGTTCTAGCTTTAGCGTAATATTAAAAATTAATCAAAATGATAGGTACTTTTTCGCCTGTAAGTTGTTTCCATTAGAAAGGAAACAATAAGCGCATTTGACGCATTATGCAGCGCTTATACGTTATAGGCGGGGTTCAAAATGCCGACCCTCTGATTTCCTCCCTTGATGACCCCCTAATTAGCAGTGGCCTATGCTCTATTAAAGCAGAAATACTTAAGGCTATTAAAAACTATTGCCAAAGAGTAATCAGATTATTTATTTATGGAGTGCAAGTGACGAAAGAAACGTAGATTCTCTATGTAGGCATGGAGAGGCTGCCCCCAGATATTGATTTTTTTTGTGCAAACGCTGCTTAGATATCCTTTACAAATGGTTAGAATTAATGATTTGGCTTCACTGTGTTTATCAGTGACTGTATATCGGTCCGTGATAAGCTGGGTCCAATTTCATCAGTTATCGCCTGAGTAGCAGATGGATTTTCGTCTTTTTCTCTTTTTTTTGCAACGTTAGCTTCTACATCAACTTCTACAGGGCACACAACAATGGAAACTCTTGGCACTTCGAAGGCAAGATAACTCTCACACACGTCGAAGTGGCCGGGTGAACGACAAACGACTACCCCTATTTTTCCGAAACCGCAGGGCCATTAACCGGTGAAAGTGCCTAGATGGGCACCGCAAACGCTCGAACCGATACACACAATTCTGCGGCGCAAGCTTCATCTATAGCATGGTCATCTGTTTAACGGCGCCTAAAAATCTCTCCGGTCGCCAATACTGTCCAGCTGAAAGTTCCATTATTTTCGTCACCAATTGTATCATGTGTGCAGGCGAACTACAGAACGAACGCGCAGGCCGTATTGTACAGGCCGGAGGATAGGGCGGTCTAGGTAAAAAGGGTGGATTTGGTTAAAAATTGTCGTTCTTACCAAACGCGACCGTTGTTTTACCCCCGCGTTGGGGTATGCAGCGCCGTTCGGTGCCGCTAATTATAGAAACGGATATTACTGTCTGGATGAGGGATCCGAATGAAATGCCAAACTAAGAACAATAGAGCATACATAAAATAAAAGAAAGATTGCTGTGCCAAGTTGTTTCGGTAACACCGGCAACATGAAAAA